AGGTGGGCTTACATTTTTGACATAACAAGTGCGGAGGCCCAAGCTGCAGCTGGCATCGGTTCAGTGACCACACAGTCAGAACTAGATTCTCTTGACATTTCCCTCACGGTTGCAAGATGGTGCACTTGTGCTCTAGATATCTTATCAGCATTCTAGGCAGGAAAGGAAAAGGAGTGGTATCTGTTTCCTTTGTGAGGAAAGCAAGAGCTTTTCCAGAAGCCTCCCAGCAGTCTGCTTTTGACTCACTGGCCTAAGTCATATCATGTGGGTGCACTTGGCTGCAAGAGAGGATGGGAAAGCAAGTATTTAGGGATTCCAGCCTCTACAGTAGCTAGAATAAAACGACTGGGAATGAGTGCTGGATTAACCAACCAAAGGTTTCTGCCATAGGGACTGGCTAAATAAATTATGGTACAACTGAATAGTAGGACACCATGTAGTGCTAAAAAGAATGAAGGGAATTGACATGTACTAGTAAAGAACAATCTCTAAGATATTTTGTAAAGTGAGAAAAGCAAGGGCAAAACTGTATATAGTATGCCTTTTGTTTAAAAGAGGGGATTAGGGTAGGACAGAGACTGACTTTTCCCTCCGTATCTTTTTGTATTATTCGAAATTTTAAAAATAATATGTACATTGGGATTTTGCCTGTAATCCTGCACCCATCCTAGATAACTTCTAGTAACACTGGCTGTAGTTCATTTCAGATTTATTTTCATGTAAACAAATGGAATTTATGTATATATTCATATATAGGAACTATAATCCTGTACATTTTCCTCTCCTCTTTGACAGGTCTTCATTTGCTATCTCTAGTGAGTTTTCATAATGCTGCTTATCATTAAATTGCACTTTCTCTGCTTAACCCTCTCCTCCCCAATTCTCTGAGCTGTTCACTCTTCCTCTGTCTTTCCTTTACTCCCTCCTCTGCCTCCTACAGTGATCTAGCTTTCCCCAGTCTCAGTAAACAGTTGTCCCCAGTGCTACCTTCACTGGTCTCCCTCCCTCCCTCTCTCCCTCCCTCCCTCCCTCCCTCCTTTAGGAAACACCTGGCAGGTAGGGAGGGGGTGGAGGGTTAACAGGTGAGCATTTTGCCAGTAGGGGAAGACCCAGTGCCAGGGAGGCCAGCAGAGATTTTAGCAATTAGAAGAATTCTAATATTTTTTGATGCCTACCCTGTGCCAAGCAATGTGCTAGACAATATGCATACATTACCATATATATTCCTCCAAACAATACTACAGTGTAGGTTTCCTTGAGGGAACCATATGCCCTGGAACAGTCATGGTATATGCCTGTTGTCCTGACAACATTATTAACGGTATCCCCTTTCACCAACTAGAGGTTTGGATAAAAACGTATATAGTTATCTTAACTACTCCCTTTTATTTAAACACTTTATTTTTACTTTTTTGGCCGTGCTGCACAGCACGCGGGATCTTAGTTCTCTGACCAGGGATGGAACCCGTGTTCCCCGCACTGGAAGCGCGGAGTCCTAACCACTGGATGGCCAGGGAAGTCCCAAACTGCTCCCTTTTGTAAGTGAGGATACTGAGCCTTAGAGAGGTAAAGTAATCTGTCCAAGGATAGACAGCTAGTAAATGATAGGGCTAAGATTCAAACTGTGGTATACATGGCTTTGCTATGGACTGAAATGTGTTCCCCCAAAATTCATAGTTGATGCCCTAAGCCCCCCCCCCACACACAATGTGAATGTATTTGGAGACAGGGCCTGTGAGGAGGTGGTAAAGGTTAAAAGAGGGGGGGCCCTACTTCAGTAGAGCTGGTGCACTTGTAAGAGGAGAAGGAGACACAAGAGCTAGGTCGTTCGACCCTGTGAGGACATAGCAAGAAGGCAGCTGTCTGCAAGCCAAGAAGGGAGCTCTCACCAGAAACCAAATGGGCTGGCATCTTGATCTTGGACTTCCCAGCTTCTAGAACTGTGAGAAATAACTTTTTGTTGCTTAAGCCATCCAGTCTGTGATACAGTATTTTCTTACAGCAGCCTGAGCAGATTAGGACGGGCTCTAATATCCATGCCCCTTCTACTCACCATGCTGGTGGGCCTAGTCATCTAGGGTCAGTGTGAGTCAGTGACTGGTCCTGGTTTAGACTTACCCCTTCTGTTTTCCTTGAAAATTAAGGTTTTTTTTTTTTTTTTGGGCCGTGTGGCATGTGGGATCTTAGTTCCCGGACCAGGGATCAAATCCGTGCCCCCTGCAGTGGAAGGGCAGAGTCTTTTTTTTTTTTTTTAAATTTTTGTTGTTGTGTGCGGGCTTTCTCTAGTTGCGGCGAGCTGGGGCTACTCTTCATTGCGGTGCATGGGCTTCTCATTGTCGTGTTTTCTCTTGTTGAAGAGCAAGGGCTCTAGGTATATGGGCTTCAGTAGTTGTGGCACGCAGGCTCAGTAGTTGTGGCTTGCGGGCTCTAGAGAGCAGGCTCAGTAGTTGTGGCGCACAGGCTTAGTTGCTCCGCGGCATGTGGGATCTTCCCAGACCAGGGATCAAACCCGTGTCCCCTGCATTGGCAGGCGGATTCTTAACCACGGAAGGGCAGAGTCTTCACCACTGGACCACCAGGGATGTCCTGTTTTCCTTGAACTTAGACTAAGGGTGGAACCATTATCCTCTTTCCTAAACTGAAGTAGGCAAGTTGTCACTCCCTGAATCAGTCTGGGTTCAATCAGGAGAGGGAAACCACACCATAATTAGAAATAGAAGAGTTTAAAGATTATAATGGAGCTAGAGTAATGAAGGATTGGCTAGTAAGAAGTAAACAGAACGCTAAAGAATATAGGAGTAGCAGATTCGGGGAGAAGCCACTGCCCACAAGGCTAAAATAGTAAAGAAGAATCCTGCACCCCACACACCCAGGCTGAGATCCAACCCTTGTGAATGGCAGAGGAGTGGCTATGGTACCATGCTGGTGGAACTTGCTAGAAATTCACCCTCTGAGCTGGAAAACTGCCCTCTAGGATGCTGGAGAAAGCTGTTCACAGAGAATCATCTCACTGTAGTTACTCTATGAAAGTGCATAAGCAGGGCAGGTACTGGGAGAAGTTGCTGGCTGCTAGGTGCTGCTGGTCCCTGTACACAGCAGGAGCCTGGTGCTGGGGAAGCCATCCTCAGAAGCTAGGCAGAGGCCAATCACACATCCTGCAAGAGCCTGGAAAGCGAGCACACTGGAATCAGAAAGGAAAAGCTCTTCTCCTCTAGTGTCTCTCCAGAGCCTTTACTGGCAAAGCTTAACATCCTGCCATCAGGCAATGAAAAAACAATGTTTAATGGGTCCAGATTTTCACAAGCAGGCAAAAAGGATGAATTGGACAAAAAGACACATGTACCCCAATGTTCATTGCAGCACTATTTACAATAGCCAGGTCATGGAAGCAACCTAAATGCCCATCGACAGACAAATGGATAAAGAAGATGTGGTACACATACACAATGGAATATTACCCAGCCATAAAAAGGAACGAGATTGGGTCATTTGTAGAGATGTGGATGGATCTAGAGACTGTCATACAGAGTGAAGTAAGTCAGAAAGAGAAACACAAATATCGTATATTAACGCATATATGTGGAACCTAGAAAAATGGCACAGATGAACAGGTTTGCAGGGCAGAAATAGAGACACAGATATAGAGAACAAACGTATGGACACCAAGGGGGGAAAGTGGCTGGGGGCGGTGGTGGTGGTGGTGGGATGAATTGGGAGATTTTGATTGACGTATACACACTAATATGTATAAAATAGATAACTAATAAGAACCTGCCATAAAAAAAGTAAAAATTCAAAAAAAAATTACATGAATGAGCTCTTTAAAAAAAAAAAAAGGATGAATTGGAGCTAAGAGACAATAAATCAACAACCAGCACACTTTCTCAAAAAGGTTTCAGGTATGTGTTAAGACTATAATTTGGGACTTCCCTGGCTGTCCAGTGGTGAAGAATCTGCGCTTCCACTGCAGGGGGCACGGGTTTGATCCCTGGAACTAATATCCTGCACGCCTCGCTGCTTGGCCAAAAAAAAAAAAAAAAAAGACTATAGTTTTCCTCAACGTGGTTCCCCAAACCAGAAGGAGGACGCAGACTAAAAATACACCTGGAAATTAAGGGACAGTGTATCTAATGAAAGGACTAGAAATCTGAGTTTTTAATAAGCTCTCCAAGCAGTTCTAGTGATGAGAGATCTTTGAAGCTATTAACTTGGAGGGAGCCCCTTGGATATTACAAGGACAGAACCAGCCTGGTACTCTGTGTGTGTGTGTGTGTGTGTGTCTGAAGTTCTGGGTCTTGGTATACCTCTTTGTAAGTGTCCTAGAGCATCTGTGGGTCTCCTGTCTTTGCAGCTTCGTTTCTCCATCTCTCTCCGTGCCTGCCCCTCAATCTGAATATCTCTGCCTCCCAAGGCATGCCCTCTAATGTCTTTCAACTTTTACATGCTGTTCTGTCTCCTTCCTTCCCAATTGGCCCATCTTCCATCTTCAGATGAACGAAGACTTCCTCCTCTGGAAGCCTCCTCTCTTCACGAACCGCCCCTGAGTTAGAGATCCTTTCTTCGCTCCAAATACACAGCTCCTTTAACACTTGCATTATCTTGCATTATCATCGCCTGCTTCCCTGGCTCCCTACTAGGCTGTGTCTTTTCCACTACTGCATCTTGGATGCCTAGCACAGTGCCGGCCCATGGTTGGCAATCAACAAATACTGACTGAGTAACTGAGATTGTCCCTCTAGGGAGGGAGGGAGGGATGGGAGGGTGGGGGGTGGAGTTTGTCCTGTTCACAGCGCGGGGGCCCCAGTATTCCCAGCCCCCTAATACAAGCCTGACGCGGAGCAGGAGTTCTAAAAATGGCTAACAAGCAAGGCAGGCTCGCCTAACATCCCGCCCACCGCCCAGCGTAGTCGTGGCGGGGCTCCAGTGGCCCCGTCCCGGCCGGAAGGAGGCGGGGAGGCCTACGGTCTTCAGGCAGCTGCCAGCCCGCGGGACCGGAGTGGGCGGGGCCTGGGCCAGAGGGCGGCTCTCGCCCGCGTGCACACCCGGAAGCGCACCGGCGTCCGCTCTCAGAGCCGGGGGAAGCAGCGCCCTCGCTCCAGTGCCTGCAGCCAGCTCCTCAGTCATGCCGGTAAGTTGTCGCGCCGTCCCCGCCCCGCGCAGACCCGCGGCCTCCGGCTTGTGCTTCGGCTGCACCGCCTTTTGGCCAGCGGTCCCTCTTGAAGGGCACAGGCCGCGCCCGGAGCTGTCGCCCCTCTTCTCCCCTCCCCACCCAGCCCCCAGCTTCTTCGACCCTCCCGAAAATCGGATCCCAAGGGAGTTTTATCTGGCAGTCAGGCTTCAGAACATCGAAGCTGCAAGGCCTTCAAGCGATTACAAGCCTAAAGCTTCCCTGCAAAGACGAGGAAACTGAGACCCAGCGAGGGGCAGAGAGTCGCTGGAGGTCACACAGGGAGTCGGTGGCGATCCGGAACTGGGATGGCTAGTCCCTGCGTCTCCCACGTGGATGCCCCTTACCGCGGAGCTGGCCTAAAAGAGGGGCTTGGGGTGACTGTTACCTCCCGGACAGGACAGGAGTTTGGAGATCCGTGTTTGTCTTCCCTTCCTCTGCCCACTGTGTCTGAGTTTCAGGTCAGCGCTGGGCCACACTGAATGGAGACAGTGCTTTTAACCTTTTCTACAGGTCACTTTAGGAACCTGAACCCGTGAGCTACAGAGAGGTTCAGGGACCTGCCCAAAGTCGCCAGTTGCTCAGTGGCAGAGTCTGGGGAGGGATGAACCGCTCACTCAGTCTTACCATCCAGTATACATGATAAGACTCATGGCCTCATTCTGTAGGTAAAAGATTAAGGCCTTTTGCAGATAAAAACAAACAAACAAACATTAAAATCCCACTAATTTATTCAAGGTGGTGTTGGGAGATGGGTGCAGCCAGGATTAAGCCCCTTATCTTCAGGGGCCCAGTCTCTCCTGACCTCACCACATGATACATGTCCAACAAAAGTAGTCATACCGGCTTGGGAGGAAGCTCTGATCCCAGTTGCATCCCAGGGCTACTGACTGGAGTGGTGGTGTTTAGCACTTTCCCCCAGGGTGCCTGGTTTTCTGGCCTTGCTCCAAGTGGGTACACAGAGGTGTCCCACAGATGCCCTGTGTCCTAGCGGCCTAGCTTTGGGGAGCTGACAGGTGAGCCAGAGGCCTCCTGGGCCAGGCCACAAACATCTCAGGTGTCATTTCCCTTGGGTCTTGCCAGGTACCTTGAGACAAATCCTCAGACAACACAAAGTATGGACAAAGAACCTGAGAGGATCAGCCCTCCCAGCTGAGCAAATCTGCCTGTGGCAATGTCAGAGGACAGCATTAATCACCCTGGGACTGGGATGGCGGAGGCTGCCAACCTTTTGTGGGGGATGACAGTGAGGGAAAGGCCAGCTTGAGGATGGCTCTATTCTATGTTCACTTCTGGGAATTTTGACGAACAAAAGACCCACCAGAGTGGATGATCCAAATGAAGAGAGCACTTGGCCGTATACCACGAGATGAACAGCTGAAGGAGACTCACACCAAAACTGGAAAGGGATTGATGTGTCACCTGAGAGGTTTCTTGCACAAAACACTTGGAATCTCAGAAACCTCTTTGAAAAATCTGTGCCCTACCCCACCCCGCTTGCCAGCTGCGTGACCTCAGGCAAGCTGTTTTACCTCTTTGTGCCTTGATTTCAGTGTAAAATGGGGGTAAAAACTGACCTCACAGGGCTGTTGTTAGTAGTAACTGGAAAAATCCCAGTAAAATATGTAGCTCAGCCACTGACATAGTCCCGAAGAAATGGTAGGTCTTGTGTAGACCTAGGACAAATTGGTAGAACTATAGGCAGGCAGGTTTCAACCCTATGTTAACAAGGACCACAGTGGCTAAAAGTTTAGGCTTGGGTAGGTCTAGGCCCTGCTATTCGCTAGCTGTGTCACTCTGAGTGAGTGACCTAACCTCATCTGTCAAGAAGGGATAATAGGGGCTTCCCTGGTGGCGCAGTGGTTGGGAGTCCGCCTGCCGATGCAGGGGACATGGGTTCGTGCCCCGGTCTGGGAGGATCCCACATGCCGCGGAGCGGCTGGGCCCGTGAGCCATGGCCGCTGAGCCTGCGCATCAGGCTCCGCAGCGGGAGAGGCCACAGCAGTGAGAGGCCCGTGTACCGCAAAAAAAAAAAAAAAAGGGGGGATAATAATAATGCCTACCTCATGGTGTTGTTGTGACGATTAAACGAGGACATGCATGCACAGTGCCTGGCACATAGTAGGCACTCTAATAATAGTAAATTCCCAATCATCAGGGTCTTCAAAAACTGAACGCCCCAGATATATGAGAAAGCATTTCGTCTCTGGGAGGGGTCTGGATAGTATGGCCCTGTTCCATTCCCACCCTTCCAGTTCTGAGATTCTGTTAAAGCATTGCACAGATGACTAGGCTTTTCCTCTACGTTACAGGTTACAGGACCCGTTTTGTAGGTGACAGAGCAGAGGCTCTGAGGGGCTGGGACTGTGCAAAGTCAAGCATTCGCTGGTGGGGCCGGCCTTGGGATTCTCTGTAAAGACAGGATTACTCTGCGCAGGAAGGAGACTTTCCACAACCCCATATTTACTTTTGCAACTCAGAGGTGGAGGAGGAGAGGACTGAATTGTAATGATTGCGCAACGGAAGCCGTCTGCTGGCTTCTGACCTCTGTACGGTGCAGGAGGGAAGGAGACCCGCTGTCTGTAGCCAACAACAGAAAGCTTTAGAGATCTGTTGACTTCAAGTCCTCGGGCAGCAAAAACTTGGGTTCCTTCACAAGGTGTCCCCATCTCAGGTCTCCTGCTAAGAGTCATCATTGTGGGGGGTGGCAGCCCCATTTGCTGGTCCAGAGCCAGCAAGGTGTCCCTGGAACCAGAAGAGCCTGGGTTCACATCCCATCCTCAACGCATACCCACCACAGGACTGTGGGTGGCTTAGTTAACCCCTGGAACCTCAAGTTTTCTCCTACATGTAGTACGGTGACTAGCTCCCTTTCCAGGCTGGGTAAGGACTGAGATACTATATAAAGAGCATTTCACATAGTGGGCACTCATTAGATTTGGGTTTTATATTCGTCTTACAAACCCATTAAAGCTTTGGATGGGTGTACAGGTACCAACCACTGATGAATCTTGATTACCAGTTATTCTAGAGCAGGAGTCAGCAAACTTTTTCTTTTTTTTTTTTGCGGTACGCGGGCCTCTCACCGCTGTGGCCTCTCCCACTGCGGAGCACAGGCTCTGGACGCGCGGGCTCAGCGGCCATGGCTCACGGGCCCAGTCGCTCCGCGGCATGTGGGATCTTCCTGGACCAGGTCACGAACCCGTGTCCCCTGCATCAGCAGGCAGACTCTCAACCACTGCACCACCAGGGAAGCCCAGCAAACTTTTTCTTAAAGGGCGAGATAGTGAATACCTAAGGCTCCATGAGCCATGTGGTCTGTTACAACTCCTCAACTCTGCCATTCTAGTGTGAAAGTAGATGAATGAGCTTAGCTGTGTTCCAGTAAAACTTTATAAAACCAGGTGGCAGGCAAGCTGTAGTTTGCCAGTTTGTGTGCTAGAGCAGCATCTCAAACTATAATGTGGGCAGGAATGCGCTGGGTGTCTTGTTAAAAATGAAGATTCTGGAAAAAAAGAAAAGAAAAAAAAGGATTCTGATTCAGGAGGCCTGGGGTGGGACCTGCGAGTCTGCAGTCTGGCAAGCTCCTGGGTGATGCTGATACCTTTGTTCTGAGAACCACCCATTAAAGACGAGATGATGGAATCCTCCCTAGAAATCCTTATTTCCAGAATTTGCTGTGGTGGTTGCTGAACAGTCACACAATGAGCTGAAGGGATCAGAGGTGTTTAGAAAAAACGAAAGACTCACCATTTTCTTTAAGGCAGGTTTGGCAGATTTGGCCTCCATAAAATAGTGGTCTCCTGGTTGTGTCATGATGTTTGTAACGATGGTTATGTAATTCAGCACCGAGAAAGCAAACTGCTTCACTCTTGGCCTCAGTTTCCCCTGTACAGCATGATGATAACCCAGACCCAAAGGTGGTTTGAGACTTGGAAAGAGCCTGAGAAGCCATTTAGACCAATGTTTCTCAAGTGTGTGGTCTCACCCCTCTGTTTCTCCTCAGTGGGTTAAAAATGGAGAGTCACAGCGCCCACCCAGAGCTACAGAGCTCACTGAGGCAGCTGCCTGCAGAGCTGCCCAGTCACCAAGTACCCCTGTGATTCTTCTGTGCACGGAGGCTGAGGAAACTGAATTGGCTAATGCCCTTGTGGTATAGATAAGTGGACTGGGGCCCCTAAGGGCAGGGATTTTGCCTGAGGTCTTCCAGCAAGACACAGTGCTGTGCCCAGAATTCCAACTGAGGTAAGAGATTTGAAAAGCTCCATGGAAAACGTAGCCATAGTTTTTTAAAGGGACAGAAAAAACGGAAGTGGAACAAAGTAATACTAATAATCTGATAGCTAACTTTTTCAAGAATTTTTTTCGCCGCGCCGAGTGGTTTGTGGCATTTTAGTTCCGTGGCCAGAGACTGAGCCTCGGCTCTCAGCAGTGACAGCACAGAGTCCTAACCACTGGACCGCCAGGGAATTCCCCCAATAGCCAACTTTTTACCCCAGTGGAACCTACTACTAGGCTCCAGTCTCTTTACCTAACATATGAATTAACTATTACTTCTGAGTAATTACCCCCAAAACTTAGTGGTTTGAGACAACAAATATTTATTAACTTATAGCTTCTGAGAGTCAGGAATCTGGAAGCAGATTAGCTGGTATTTCTGGCTCAGGGTCTCTCATGGAAGCTGCAGTGAAGATGTTGTCCAGGGCTGTGGTCCTCTGAAGGAGGATCTGCTTCCAAGTTGGCTCCCTCACACGGCTGTTGGCTGGAGGGCTCAGCTCTTCACCATGTGCACCTCTCCATAGGGCTGCCAGAGGGTCCTTAGGACATGGCAGCCAGCTTCCTCCAGAGTGAAGGATCCCAGAGAGAGTAAGGCAGAAACCACAATGTCTTTTCTGCGTTAGCCTCCAAGGTCACCTAACGTCACTTCAGCCATATTCTACTGGACACACAGGCCAACCCTGAGACATTGTGGAATAGGACTACTCAAGGGCATAAATACCAGGAAGCAGAGATCACTGGGCCATCTTGCATGCTGGCTACCACACTTAAAATCTTGTGTTCATCCCATTCACCAGCCTGGAGAGGGACTTTCATCCCCATTTTGCAGATACAGAAACCAAGGCACAAAGGAGTTAAGTAACTTACTCATGGCCACACAGCTACTAAGTGCCAGAGCTGGGATCTGAAGCCAGGTCTCATTTCCAGAGATTTAAAATAAGGGAAGTATTGGTATAAGTAACCTTTGTTTGAAAGCAAAGGAAGGACCCAGGGTTGTTCAGCCAGCTGTGTCAAACATCCATTCACCCAACAAAATGTGTTAAGCCCCTGCTCTGTGCCAGGCGCTCCCTGTTCCAAGTATTGGGGCTGCAGCAGTGAACGGAGCAAAGCCTCATCTTCTGGGAGCTTTTTGCCTTCAGGCCTTTGGTTTGTTAGATATCCTGGAGACTGTAGGATGTTGAGCCCTCATGCAGAGTCCAGGAGCCTGGGTTCCCTTACTGGCCCAGATTCAGCTCACTGGGAGCCCAGGCAAATCCTCTCCCTTCCCAGGATTCAGGTGCTGCCTCTGAAGCACTTGGATGGCAGCAGTGGTCTCCATATTTCAGAGTCACCAGGGAAGCTTATTGACCATAATAGATGCCTCAGCCCTCTGGCTTGCTGACCAGAGCCTATAGTTTTTGTTTGTTTGTTTGTTTTTATACAGCAGGTTCTTATTGGTTATCCATTTTATACATATTAGTGTACATACGTCAATCCCGATCTCCCAATTCATCCCACGCTCGCCACCTCCCGCTTTCTCCCCTTGGAACCTATAGTTTTTGTAAGCTCCCAGGTGAGTCTAACGCAGAGAGTGAGCTTTTAATGCATAATTAAGACCACCAGATCAGCACTGTTCAGAGCATGGGGCCCACCCACATTAGAGTTATTAGTGATCCTGAGACAACCCCATAGCTGAAGAATCAGGGCTTTGAAGATGAGACTAGAAACCAACATCTTAAACTACCTTCCCAGGTGATTCTTCTCGCGTGTCCCAGACGCCGCTAAAGGGTTTCGAGGGATCCTGTCCTTTAACGCAACCACCTGTGAGATACAGAAACCCTTAGTTACTGTACAGTTTAAGAGAGTGGGGCTCAGAGCGTGGGGCTCCCTCAGGCTCCTGGGGAGTGTGATGAAAGCCGGATCTTGCCTTTTTCTCTGCCCTGCGTCTTGGCTCCCGAGTGGGCCTGCGTGCTAGCGGGGACTTGGCTTATGGACTTGGCTCATGGTCTCCTTTGTTTCAGAAGCACGAGTTCTCCGTGGACATGACCTGTGAAGGCTGCTCTAATGCAGTCACTCGGGTCCTCAACAAGCTGGGAGGTGAGTGTGTGGCCCTCGGATGGGGGTGGGGAGACAGATACACTTATATTAAATGCATGTAGGCATGGAACGGGAGAAACTTGAGTTTAAGCTGCTAACAGTAACACCAAAACATATTGCGTACTTAGCATATGCCAAGTACTCTGCTTCGTGGCTTCCGTGGATCACATCATTTAATCCTCACCCTGACCATTTCAGGTAGCTGCTTTGACCATCTCCGTTTCAAGCAGGAGGGAACTGAAGTTCAGAGAGGTTAAGTAACCTGTTGGGATCACACAGCCAGTAGTGGCAGAGCTGGGATTTGGCCACGTGGAGCCCTGGCAGTACTACTTAGTATGTTAGTAATCACATTCATCTCCAGTGGGATAACTTTTGTGATGTGACACATTTGAGTGTCATTTTCTATTAAGATTTTTAGAAGCTGTAACATTTTAAGAAATAAACTTTGGATCAGTCCTGTGCAGAACTCCTAAAGCACCTCTTCTGGGTGTATTTAGAAAACCATTAATCTCCTCCAGTCCCCTCAATTCTCATCTGGGGAAACGGAGGCCCAGAGAGGGCTGGGGTCTGGTCCTGGGGCTCCATGAAGTCATGACAGAGCTGTGGTCAGAGTTGTGGTAGTGCTGGGGCAGTCAGTCTTTTCACCCTGGATAACAGTAACACCCAGTTTTCAAAGGGCTTTCATGTGGATGTCATCTCGTCAGCACTTAACACCGTCCTCTGAGCTGTACTTTCCGTCTGTGGAATGGGGATGTTGACACCAGGCCCCAGGAGGGGAAGTGACTTGCCCAGTGTCCCACAGTGAGTCCATGGCTGGTTTCTAGACTGTAAACTGGAATCTGAACTGTAAAAGAATCTGAAACAGTGAAAAGAACCTGGCTGCTGACTTGCCGTGTGACCTTGGCCTCCTCTCCCGGGGCCTGGCTTTCCCCAGCTACGGTATGGGAAAGTCAGCCTCTCAGCTTTGCTGTGGATGCTTTAACAGTATAACTCTGCTCACAACCCCTTCTATACAAGCACCAGCTCTGCATGAAGTGAGGGAGGGCCTGCTTTCACTCTTGCTGGCTCCAGGACACCTGTCCAGGGACCTGGGCTACCAGAAACACAGCTTGAAATCCACTGGGTCAGATGATGCCAGAGTGTCTTCCAGCTCTGTGATGCCACCAGAATATTTGCTCCAAAGAGGAGGGAGACACTTCTGAACCAAAAGACAAAACCCAGAGTGCAGCCAGGATGCATTGCCCTCTCCCTGGTATCCATTAGGTACAGAGTCAGAGGTTAGGACTAAATCCCGTGCCGTGTGCTTTTTCAGGCCCCTTCACTGGTGCCTGAGGATCTGCCTTTGAGCTTGGGCAGGTATCTCTCCCTCTTTCACTACTGTCCCCACTTGGGGTGACTTCTTAAGAAGGGTCAGAAGGGTTTTCTGAGCTAGTCGGGGCCACAGATGAGCAGTGCTGGGCCTGAGGAATCACAGAGCAGTGGCATACTTGAACTGGAGAGCCCACAGGGGCTGGCTGACCCCAACTCCTTCATGTACCGATGGGGAACCTGAGGCCTGTGATAGGCAGGACCCAGCCAGTCAGTGGTGAAGCCAGGCCTGGGATTCTCCCTCTGTTGTTTCAAGAAGACCCCTTTGTACCTATTCCCCTATGCCACCGAGGGGCTTCAAATGGGCACAGCCCTTTAGGAGGGCAGTTTTGCAAAACCTATGAATATTTAAAGTGTGCTAGGCCCCTGTGCTCAATAGCCCGCGAGACTTTGCAGAGGCCTTCCTCTTTTATCTCGGCCGCCAACATGCCATCTGGACTAAGGAAGACCCGGAAACTTAGGGGCCACGTGAGCCATGGCCATGGCTGCATCATCAAACACTGGAAGCACCCGGGAGGCCACGGTAATGCTGGTGGCATGCATCACCACAGGATCAACTTTGACAAATATCACGCAGGATACTTTGGGAAAGTTGGTATTAGGCGTTACCCCTTAACGAGGAACTAGAGCTTCTGCCCAGCCGTCAACCTTGATAAACTGTGGACCTTGGTCAGCGAGCAGACACGGGTAAATGCTGCCAAGAACAAGACTGGAGCTGCTCCTGTCACTGATGTGGTGCGATTGGGTTACTGCAAAGTTCTGGGGGAGGGGAAGCTCCCAAAGCAGCCTGTCATCGGGAAGTCCAAATTCTTCAGCAGAAGAGCTGAGGAGAAGATGAAGGGTGTGGGTGGGGCTTGTGTCCTGGCAGCTTGAAGCTACATGGTGGGAGATTCATTAAATCAGGGGTCCCCGACACCATGCCCTCCCCAGCCCAGCCCAGTGAACAGGAGGTGAGCAGCGGGCGAGTGTGCGAAGCTTCATCTGCCGCTCCCCATCGCCCTCCCCATCGCCCCTCCCCATCGCCCCTCCCCATACGCCTCCCCATCGCCCCTCCCCATCGCCCTCCCGATTGCCGCTCCCTATCGCCCTCCCCATCCGCCCTCCCCATCGCCACTCCCCATTGCCGCTCCCCATCTCCCTCCCCATCGCCACTCCCCATCGCCGCTCCCCATCTCCCTCCCCGTCGATGCTCCCCATCACTGCTCCTCATCGCCCTCCCCATCGCCTGAAAAACTGTCTTGCATAAAACCAGCCCCTGGTGCCAAAAAGGTTGGGGACCGCTGCATTAAAGGATAACAAGTGCTTTCCTCGTCTGGTGTGAGTGTAGGTTCTTTGGGACTTCTACCTCCCTACCTGTACCGAAACCCACCTAACGGGTTCTAGGAGTTAGGGAATGAAGACCTGGGCTCCTTTGCCAGCTCCCCTCAGAGTATGGAAGACATGGCACCAACACTTAGAATAAGGCCTTGGCTGGTTACCTAATTTGAGGCTTCTCACTTTGAAAGTGAGAATGCTACCTGTTGATAATGGACATATCGTTGAAAAGCCTATTGCCATTGTATGCTCTGAATTTATAAATGAGTGGGAGAATGTGCCCTTAACTGTTCCATGGGACTCAAGGGGGGAAAACTCATGATCTTTACCACATTTTGCTCAGTCACGTTGGAAAGATGGGTCAGTGGTAGGATAGAAGTGGTTCTTTGGAACTTACTTCCTCAGTCTAAGGTTCTTCCACCTGGCTTCCTCATCTCAGATCAAACCATTCTGGTCATAAACAGAATGTTGGAATGGGGCCCAACCATCTGAATTTTAAACACACCAGGGCTTTTTTTTATCAGAGTGGTTCGGATTCTAGAAAGCAGTTGTCAGGACTTATGGGTCCCTGTGCATAGGAGTCTTAACGTTCAACGAAATACATCATGAAATGCTAATGAAAAAAATAAAAAGTGTGCCAGTCTGTTGCCCCACAATTTCCATTCTATGAATTCATGGTATAGAAATATTTCCACAAGTTTTATAAGATACGTTCAAGTATGTTTACATTGTTGTGATCATAGTGAGAGATTGGAGGCAACCTCAGTGTCCTTCAGAGGGGGACTGAGTAGACGGATGGTACATCCACACTATGGGATATGGTGTAGCTGTTAAAAAAGAATGAAGTAAGTCTGTATGCACTGAGATGGCAAGATATCCTGGACATTGGAAAGTGACATATAGCAAGACCTGTTTACAGAGTATGATGCCACTTTGGGGAATTACTTTTCATTTGTCCATCAGGGAGAAACACTGGATAGGGGCCCTATTGTTCAGTGATCCTTAGAGGTAGGAAGTAGTAGGGGCCTTACAGTTTCAAATTTTATTCAGAAATGCTTGCCTTTTTTCTTTTTAAATGGTGTGTCTGGGGACTTCCCTGGCAGTCCAGTGGTTAAGACTCCGCACTTCCACTGCAGGGGGGGCACGGGTTCAATCCCTGGTAGGGAAATTAAGATCCCACATGCCACGTGGCGTGGCCAAAAAAGAACAAAAGTGTGTCCGTATTACTTTTGCAATTAAGAAAAAAAAATTTTTAAAGCCCCCATCTAGAGCAGGGATGGGCAAACTACAGCCCCTGGGCCCAATCCAGCCCACAGCCTGTTTTTGCACAGCTGACAATGGTTTTTACATTTTTACAGGGTTGTAAAAACAATATACAGAAGACTATGCAGCCCACAGTTCCTAAAACATGTGCTCTCTGGCCCTTTTCAGGAGAGGTGTGCCAATCCTTGGTCTAGAGGAGAAGGGAAGGGTGGTGGTCAATAATTCAGGAGCCTGACTGGGAACGTCTCTGTCCCCCCTCATCCCCTTCCTGCAGGAGTTCAATTTGACATTGACCTGCCCAACAAGAAGGTCTGCGTCGACTCTGAGCACAGCGTGGACACTCTGCTGGAGACCCTGGGGAAAACAGGAAAGGCCGTTTCCTACCTTGGCCCCAAGTAGCGAGGGCCTGGGCCCCCAGCCTGCAGGATGGACCAAAGTGGGCAGGTGGGTGAGGCCCCGACACTGCAACAAAATATGTCTCTACCGGATGCAAATCACAAGCTCAGGGACTCCTTCCAGCCCCCTGTGAGTAGACAGAGCACTTCGTGATGTCTCCCAGGGTCCCCTCTGTGACTTCAGGGTACATTTCATGATCAGCAGGGTTTAAGTTTAAGCATATGGCCCTGAGCAGTGTGTCTTTTGCTTTGATAACTTAACGGTCCCATCAGAGGTGACACCTACGCCCTGAGCCTTGTGGTCCGGTGCACTGACCAGGTGAGTTAGTTCACCTTGGCCTCTGTCCCCACTTGGAACTGTTCTCAGCTTCCTGAGCATGCCCTCTGCCCAGACTGGTGCAAAGACAATACTGTGGTCAATCTGGTAGTTTCTTAAAACCTACCATATGACCCAGCCATTCCTTTGCCAGGTATTTACCCAAGAGAAATGGAAAGCACTGTCCATAGGAAGACTTGTAAATACTGAGAGCAGCTTTACTTGTAATAGCCAAAAGCTGGAAACAACCCAATGTCCATCACTAGATGAATAGATAAACAAATTGTGGTATAGCCATAGAATTGAATACTATTGTCCATGCAACAACTGCAATGAATCTCACATACTGTATATCATTTATATAAAGTTCTAAAAAATGGAAACGAACCTATAGCGACCAAAGCAGATCCGTGATTGCTTGATGATGTGGGGTGGCGAGGAGAGGCAGGAGGAGACTTTGGGGTTGGAAATGTTCATTATCTTGAGTGTGGTGAGGGTATGTGGGTGTATTCAATTGATAAGTCACAGATCATCACATCGTGCACTTAAAATATGTCTACGTATAGCATGTCAGTTACACCCCCAATAAAGCTGTTAAAGGTGAAAAACAACATAAACAAACAAAAAACAGCAGCGTGTTTAAGCTGGATGTTCCCTTTGATTTTACGTAATCCAGAAAGGAGGCTAGTGACACTGTGCCAGCACCCTTCACTGCGGAACCAGGGCAGACTTTAGTCATCCATCCAGCATTCCTTCCCTCCGTGCCTAGCCACAGTCTCAGAATCCTTCACAGCACAGCCCTCCTAGCAGTCACTGGCCCCGTAGTGCCTCTCATGCCCTTCATGCGTGTATTACAACAATCGCCACATTGCTGATGTCGGTCAGTGCTCTCACTGTAATTAAGGAAAATGAGGCCTGGAGAGGGGAAGTGACTTGACCAAAGCCCCACACAGGTGAGTGCCAGGGGCAGGCTGAGAATCAGGCATCCAACTACAACTGGCTGCTGGGCCATGGCAGTGAACTTCAGCTGCAGCCTCCTTCCTAAAGGTGTGCGTTGGAATCTGAGCTGTGGCAGTGTCCTGTGTATCTGGTGACATCACATGCAAATCGTGAGATGTCAGATGTGTCTGTCTTCGTCATCCCCTTCCTGCCCATGGAGGAACCATGTTCAGGAATGAGTCCAGGGTGAATAATCAGTATTCTAGGGGTCTAGTTTTTAGCTTTGCCCTCATTTCACATTCTGACAGTGGACACTTCTCTTTCATTCCTGAGACTTAGTCTTCCCTCCTGTAAAATGGGGCTATAACCTCTGCCCTGCTTTCCTGCCTTGTGGAGGTTACTGTGAAATCCCTCTGAATATGAAGGATGATCCTTAAAGGGAGGGTAACGTTTCTACCATACCAGTGTTCATCACATGGTTCCTGCATCCCTAGGGTTTTGGGGGGAGGGTGGGTGGGTGGGACCCTAGGCCCCTCCATGTATCCCAAGTAGCCCTGTTTTATATTGGGCCTCCGTGTAAGACTGTTTATAAAAGTCTCTGTGACAAGGAGGGATGGAGGGAGGGAAGAGGAAAAAAAACTTCCTCAGCTGGCTACACACGTGGGGGAGCCCCAGTGTAGACACTTTGAATTGGAAACTCCCGACCTGAGCATGTGAATTTTGTTTGACTAAAAAAGCAATACCTACCTGTTGTAAACCATGTGTAGCTTAATGTGTATTTTTCTCATAGTAGGCTCTTTTTTTTTAAATTGAGATGAAATTCACATGACATGCAATTAACCATTTTAAAGTGTACCATTCATTGGCCTTTAGTGTATTCACAATGTTGTACATCCACCACCTCTCTCTAGTTTCAAAACTTTTCATCACCCTAGAAAAACTCCCTGTACCCATTTAGGCTGTCCCCACTGCCTCCTCTCTCCATCCCCTGGCAACCACCAATCCGCTTTCTGCCCCCTGGACTCACCTGCCCTGGATATTTCCATATAAAAGGAATCATACAGTTATGTGACCTTTTGTGTCTGGCTTCTTTCACTTAGCATAATGTTTTCAGGATTCACCCAAGCTTAGCATGTATCAGTACTTCATTCCTTTCTATGGCTGGATAGTTCTCATAGTAGTTTTAATTAATTAATTTTAGCTTTTTTATTATAGGAAGTGTCGAACCTATGCAAGTAGGGTAGTAAAATGAATCTCCACGTACCCATCACCCAGATCCAACGATCATCAAGTCATTGCCATCATTTCATCCATGGCCCGCTCTCTGCACCCCCATATTCACAGCAAATTCAGGCATCATATAATTTCATCTGCACATCTGTCAGTAACCATGTGTAGTATGAAAAGGCTCCTGGAGATTCGTATGCATGGCACTGGGTGAGAGTCACTGACCAGGTAAGCTTTTACCCCACACACCAGGCAGCATCTGTCTCTGAGTCTGTTTTAAGAGGCTGCCCAGTGACGGATTTGAAGCCAGGTTCAGGAACCAGAGGTAGAATGTTTATTGTTCTGAAGTTTCCTTGATCGTCTGGCTGTCGGCAGATTTGTTTGCTCGTGATTTTTTTTGTTGCCCTCCTGGTATAAGTTGAAACAGGACAGGGAAGGTGCCCCAGCAGCCCTGGGAGTTCCCCAGAAGAGGGCCTCGGCGGTGACCGGCTTAGAAAGATCAATGGGTTCTGGTCAAGACTGCCAAGAGGCAGTCTTGGTAGAAGCAGCATGCAGGGCTGGACATGCTGCTCCAGCACCTGGGTTTCCCACCTCACCTGGTACAACTGCCTCTTGGTGAACCTTTACTGCTTTTGTAATGTCTCCACGTGCCCAGCAGATGGCGCCTGTGTTCCACCTCACTTCTCTTCTCTTCCAGGATGCTGAGCCAGCTCCTGCCTTCCAGACAGATCTAGGACCTGACAATCCTGCTCAGCGATGGTAGTTCCTGCGGAGACCCTCACTTGCCCTGCTCTTCTATAGCTTCCTTGCAATAAAGTCAAGTCGATTTTGCTGGAGATATTGTCTCTTGCCTGGTCTTGATGTCACTTGCTTACGTGCTGTGCTGTGCTGCTCACATGTTGCTCTGAAGGAGATAACTGCAGTGCTTGCTTGGGTTGGAGTTCTAAGAGCTCCCAACTGGGCGAAAGAGGTCCGATGGATTCTGAGTCTTTGCTGTGTGAGCTTTTGCAAGTCACTTCCCCTCTCTGGGCCTCACTTTTCCTCATCTATAAGTGAAGGTGTTGGATCAGGTGGGTGATCCTCTTTCTTTTCACTACTTTCTTAGACTCTGTATTGTGAAAAACTTTTGTCTGTCAAGTGAATCGCATTTAAGGGAGGTAAAATTGTATGGCAGTTAGAATAATGAGAAGCGGCAGCGAAGACAGACTGCCTGGGATAGAGTCCAAGCTCCATACCTCCCAGCTGGGCCACGTAACCTCTTGGTGTCCGCAAGCATAAAATGTAACAGCATCTCCTGCAAATGGTGGTTGTAGGGATTAAATGAGGGGACTCATGTAAGTCGCTTAGATAGTGCTTGTCAGTTAGTAATCACTCAGTGAACATTCTCTATTCACATACATTTTTGTGTGTATTTAATTAATCAAAGATCTGTAGAAATGGCAATTAGAATTCCAGTCAGCCTAAAAGTTAGTGCCTTACAGAGTTGATGCAATTATATCAAAACAAAGGGAAATGTTTTAGTTTGTACAGCTTTACTTATTTTTTAAAAATATTTCTTTAAGGGCATCCCTGGTGGCACAGTGGTTGAGAGTCCGCCTGCCGATGCAGGGGACACGGGTTCGTGCCCTGGTCCGGGGGGATCCCACATGCCGCGGAGCGGCTGGGCCCGTGAGCCATGGCCACTGAGCCTGCGCGTCCGGAGCCTGTGCTCCGCAATGGGAGAGGCCACAACAGTGAGAGGCCCGTGTACGCAAAAAAAAAAAAAAAAAAAATTTCTTTAAGCCAGCAGCTCTCAAACTGTTTCATCCCAGGACCCTTTTACACTCTTAAAAATTACTGAATATCTCAAAGAGCTTATGGTTATGTGGGTTATGCCATAACAGAAATTAAAACAGGAATTTCTGAAACACAAGAATACGCAAGCATATATCCCATTAGCCATCAGGGCGAGATGAGGTCATTGCACAGCACTTAGATTCTGGAAACTTCACTGCATGATTGTAAGAAAAAGAGAAAAAGGCATCTGTGTGAATAGTTTTGACCTTGTGTTCCTTCTGAAAGGTCTTGGGGACCACACATTGAGAATCACTGCTTTGACCATCTACTGGGCAGTGACTGGGGACCAGCGCTGCTGGACCTGGGATGAGACCCAGCTCTGCCTTTGGCGACCTGTGACCTTGGACCAGTCACCTCATCTCTCCCAGAGGCAGTTTTCTCACCTGCACAACGTACCATATCTGTACCTCAGGGGCCTTACGTAAGAGTTGGAAACTTTGCCAACTCTGAGCTGTATGCGAGCGTAATTTGGGTCCCATTATGAGAGTATTAAAACCAGTCCCGGCCATTTCTGCCTTTGTGGTCCCTTGGGGGCACAGGGACTCTCCCTGCCCTCATGGTATCTAGGGTCCTTGGCCACAAGATGGCAGTGTTCTTTGGCTCTGACCATCCACGGAGACACTGAAGACAGTTTCTGTGGGCGCTGGGAGTACAAACTTGAGTTTTTCCATTTTCACAGCTTCCCAGGAGACCTGGTTCAGGCTGTCTGGCCCACTGGGAATGCCCAAGGGTAAAGACACTGGTGTCTTGGGCCGAGTGGTTATTGGAGGAGTTCCTTTCCTTTGACTCTTCTCTTACCCCCCACCACCCCCCCGCTGGAATCCAGGTTTCTAGCTGAGGCCAAGGCCTCAAGCAGCTGGAGCAAATGAGACCACACAGCAGGGTGTGGCAGGGGGAGCAGATGTGTCCACCTGTCACCCAGGTGCTCTCCCCAGCACCTGACCCCAGCCCACCTGCCCAGCTTTTCCAGCGCCTCCTGTGTCTCCCTGGTGCCTTGCGTTTGTTTATGCTGCCCCGAAATGGCATGATCTCTGCCTACCTCCCCAGCCCCGCCTGTCGCCATGTACAAATTCCTTTTCTTCCCTTGCATACCACAGCCTGCATGAAACCTCTCCACAACTGGAAGTAATTTATTTCTCCTCTTGGCCCTCACAGCATTTATCCCACTAGCTTCGGGGCTGAGGCAAAGCTTTTCGTCCACGTGTCTCTCCTGTCCTCAAGGATCAGGCCACGTATCTATTCCCTCAGCGCACAGAACAGGCACTGAGGGGATATTTGATGGATGTGTAATGGCTGCCATCTGGGGGGCATTTATTGTGTGTCCTGCCCTTGCGTTCATGTCGTTCATCTTCATCTGGTCCCTGTAAGCCAGCGGACCAGGACAGACCCAGAAACGTGGTAGGTGTGCAGGGGGCATTTGTTGAGTTAATCTCACAGAGGTGGAGATCACCTGGTCTGATCCTTTCAGCAGGGTTATGTTTTTGTCAAAGGTCCCTGGTGTGAGTACAGCAGCCTGGAGCCCCCCCTGGGGCTCACTGTTCCCGGCTCCTTGGCCTCTGTCGACCACCCCACCCTGTGGCCAAAGCCTTACCGTGTCCAGTGCTGACATTCCCAGGGCTGGAGAGAAGCCTCACAGCCCCCATGAACTCGGGAGAGGGTCCATCGCCCGTGACCGGGGGGGCTGCAGAGGGAGCCCGTCTGCTCTGAGTGAGCTTGAGCAAGTCATCTCCTGTCCCTGCCTCCTGTTAAGGACAAGTTTTTGACTTTTAAGTGTTTTTGTTTTTAACAGCTTTAATGAGGTATAATTTCATTCAATAAACTGTACACAATTTAAGCCTATATGTAATTTTTAAAGATACACATACACGCTCATGTAAACCATAACCAGAGTGATGACATTTATCACCTGGGAAAGTCCCCTCAGGCCCCTGGGAAATCCTTCCACCCCTCCCTCCCCCCTCAAGCAACCACCATCTGCTTTCTGCTACTATCAATTAGTTTGCAGTTCCTAGACTTTTATTTAAATAACAATCATACAGAATGTACTCATTTTTGTCTGGCTTTTTCCGCTCGGCACAGTGACTTTGAAATTCACCCATGTTACTGAGGTATCAGTGATTAGATACTCACTTCCTATCACTGAGTAGTATTCCATTGCATGGCCATACCACAAAGTGTTAATCATTCAACTGTTGATGGACACTGGACTTGTTTCCAGTTTTTCAAACTGCTGTCTGGTGCTGGCCAGGTTCCCCAAGGGCTCCACAGGGCACCGGGGGGCAGTCCCAGATGCCAAACCAAAGCAGCTCAACGTATGGTTTTGCCTACCGAGCCTCCACCTACCGAGCCCAGAGGTATTCAGCCACGGTCTGGACTTGAGCAGATCCGGATTCAAATTCCACCTCCACCACTTAATAACTGCATGACCTTGGGCAAGTAACTGATTCTTTTGTGCAAGTCAGTTTCCACATATGTAAAATGGGGATCATAATGTACCCACCTCAGGTGGCTATGGTGGGACTTAAGATCATCACATGCCTAATGCTTGATGGTGGCATTCCACAAATCAAGCTTTTTGAACAAAACGTTTCACAATTATACAATTTGAAGTTTGAAAACTGGATTTTGGAAGTCTTGGGATCTAGGTCCTTTCAACCCTGCAGACTCTGAAAAGGAAAAATGGACCCTCAAGTGCTGTGCTGCGTGGAGGAGAGCAGTGGTTGTTCAGGTCACAGCCCTCTTTGTGGCACCCTCCTTTAATTAGGGACAGTCTCTTCAAAGCACGAGCCTGTAATTTCTGGGGAGTGCCCGGCAGAGCTGCTTTTAGGTTTCCATGTCTTTAGGGGCTGTGGCCACTTAGTTTAAGTGGATGAGGCGAGTCTCCTAATCTGCCTCCCAAGAAGGGAAAAGTCTGCAAATCTCATGACTGCCAGTTGGAGCCTTGAAAGAAAAGATCAAAGCCTCTGGAAATAAGGATGCTATCCCCCATCGGCCTGCTCATCAGGGGCTCCTAGTATCCTAATCCTTTTAGGACCACAAATCCCCAGGCAGCTAGAAGCCAGCTGGATCTCAGATAAGAATGCAGGCTCTGCAGACAAACGGATGGGTTCAGTGCCAGCCTGGCTGTTTCCCAGCTGCGTGAATTTGGGCAAGTTGCTTAACTGTCCAGGATCTCAGTTTTCTCATCTGTAAAATAAGAATAATAACTACGCCTTCTTCTCAGAGTGATATACACACATGGCGAGTGCTCAGCTTGGCAGCTGCTATCATTGCAGGATCTTTGAAAAGAAGGCCTGGCTGGTCATCCAGCCCCATGTCCACATCCACGCCCCCCTACACCCGACAGCGGGGCCCCAAGCCTCGGCCTGCACACTACCCCTGCGAGGGAATGCCACAAGCAGCTGGCTCCGCTCTGGACAGCAATCTGGGGGAAAGTTCTGGCGTTGAGCCCACCCTCACCTCCCTGGCATGTCTCTCACGACTGGGGCTGGGTTCATCCTGACACCCGGGGCATCAGTCCAGCCCCTCCCCATGGTGGCTTCTCAGAGGCAGAACTCGCTCTCCCCTTCCCATCCCTACCCCCCTCCCTGGCCCACCACTTCCTCAGGGACGGAGCTGGAGTTATCAGACCACCTGGTCACTAGCCTCTTCGTTGATGCCCCTCCTCCCTTTTTTTTTTTTTTGCCCATACCTCACGGCATGCAGGACCTCAGTTCCCCAACCAGGGATGGAACTAGTTCCCCCTGCAGTGGAAGCATGGAGTCTTAACCACGGGACCACCAGGGAAGTCCTCGTTGATGCCCTTTTGATAGTGGAAGGCGAGAAAACACGAAACGGCCAGGCAGCCCTGGGCTCCCACCACTCCTAGGCCCGTTCACACGGTTCCCGGCACAGCACGGAAGGAGCTGGGCTGAGTCCAGAGAGCACGAGGTCCTCACACAGGGGAACCTTGGCAGGTTACGCAATCTCTCCTCATCGGGGAACTGTGGCTCCGCCCTGG